AAGAAACCTCTACTCAAAATTGAGTAATGTAAAGATGAAAACAAGCAATTTGTCACTGCTGCTCTATGGTTCCATTTTCGTGTGACTTGGACACACCGAGCATCAGTCCTGTGTACAAAGGCTGTCATGCTCACTCCTAGGGAAATGTTACAATAGACAAACAACTGTTGCTGCTCTGATTCAGGTCTTGCAGAGAAAACTGAAATGTTTTGATGAACTGAGTAATAAAAGAGAGCATTTACTGTAAGCTGTGTCCCTGCCCTCTGTCGCATTTACTGCACTTTGTCTATTTCTTTTTGCCTGTTTCTTTTCAATTCTGATACGAAAGCCACTTTTGAACCCTGGGGAGAGCTGATTGCTATAGAAGGAGATCAGGTAAGGTCCTTTTTCTATACATATGCTTTTTTATTATTATTATTATTATTTAAAACCTCCAAACCACTGAATCCTTGGATACTCCAGTATTCTTTGACAGTGTGGGGGGCACGTTCTTAGTGGTATAAACTGCTTACCCCTTTACTGACACACACCAACAGCACATCTGTTCTTGCTTCCTTTCTCCCTGTGGCTTTCTCTTTTTCCTTTTTTCTTCTTTGATATTTATTTTTTTTTTAGAGATCACTTTTTGGAATCCAAGATACTTTTTTACTTTGTTTTTGTAACTTACTGAAGTCACCACAGTCCTTTTAGAACCCTTTATCATAGATTAGTATTTTTTCTTCAGTTCTTCTAGATTTTGTGTTAGAAAACTTACAGGGCTAAGCGCTGAGAGATTCTTGCGGACTTTTGCCTTTGAACTAGGTGCTTGTATTCCAGTATCAGTTTGGGCTTACGTAGTGTTGAACTCTATGGTGTCTTAGAGTTGAGAATCATGTCTACGGCACAGGAATAAGATCATCCTTGTGTTCTTGATGTCTGTGTGTTGCTGAGACATTGCTGGTTTTTCTTGTCCCTGAAATGATGTCTAACATATTTCTCTTCTTGGAATTTCTGTTCACATCTTTGGCACCTATTAATTTTCCTTTTTTTTTTTTTTTTAATCCTTGTGAAAGCTGCTTGAGTACCTGATTATATTCTGATTTTAAAAAGGTGCCAAGTTAACAACCAAACTGTGAATCAGTGCATTTTCACCTAGTAAAAGATCTGGTAGCAGACAGCTTATAGTCGCAATTCCTTGCCAGACCAAGGGCGGTTTAGTGTGGAGAAGAACATGGAATGAATAAAAATGCCACTGTGTCACTAAAGGCTGTACTATAGTTCATGTAAGCACCTTTAAAGCTTGCTTTACATCATAGAAGAGTATGAAAAGCCTGCATTATAGCGTTAAACAGTTTCAGAGCTATACACAAAATATAAAGAACCACTCCTGAAAGCTTTTGTTTAAACACAATGGAGTTCTGCCCCCATAATTCATTTTAATAAACTGCATATGATGCAGTGCAAGAACACACAGGACTGGGTGATGGAGTCTATCTGAACATGAATGTCAAATTTTGAGTTGAATGGTAAGATATATGTCCTGCCTCCGATTAGCAGTGCTGGGCTCCGATCTTGTGTATAGATTTGGGAAGTGTGCCACAGCTGTGGGTCAGAGGTGACATCAGGACACCATTTTGACCAGCAACTCCTAATGGTGTCTCAGGCTGCTGTACTGAACAGATGGCTTGGGTGAACAAGAAGCTCCCATTGGCCTCTGTCTTAAGTGGCAGGAGGGTATTCCAAGTGCCAAGTCTGTTCCTGAGGGACTGCCAGGCAGTCAAACCACCCTGACTGCAGAGACCAGCACAGCAATTTAGGGGTTTTAAAAATACTGTACAAATGCTAAGCCTTTCTTTCCATGCCCTGCAGCCTAGCACCAGAAGTAAATGGTCATAATAACTCACAGAAAATGGGAATCTCTGTCTCCCAGCTGCCGTATCTCACTGCCTTGAGAGCACAATAGGCTATTGTGTGGCTGAAGAAAAGTCCTTTTACATTTCCTTCCTTTGAGGACTGAAACTGCTCCAGGTACCGAGCATACCCCTTGAAAGAGGCCAAAAGATGAAAAATGAGAAAAAGAGGGTTGATAGGGAGTATCAGATTATTTATTTATATTTATTTTCCCCCTCCCCATTTGTGTTAGGTTTCCATGCGATGGTCAAAAGGATGGGGTGAGAGATGTCCCCCGGGATGGCTGGCAGCAGGCGTGGGCAGAGCGCAGGCGAGGAGACTACAAAGGGAGGCAGGGATGGGTAGCAAGAGCAAAAGTACTCTTTATCTGGCATTTTGCAGCCTAGAAAAGGTCTATTTCTTTCAGACACTGGTCATCTTCATACATGTTTAATTAGACAGATGTACTCAGTGCCAGATTTGGGTTTCTGCGAAAAAGGGCTTTGTGTGAATACTCACAAGTCCTTGCGTGACAACAAACTCTTCTTTGCCACCTTGGTTTGCTGATACCTGATCTCTGCTTTATTTACTCTGCTAGGTCAGCTGTGTGTATACCAAGAGCCTGTATGAAGGAAGTCACTTTATTGCTTGATTGCAGAAAACAAGGGGGAAATCAGACTTGCACGGTAATTAGTTCACTAATTTCTCGTCAGTATAGATGAGACGGATGTTGCTTTACCACAGAGAATGGATTTCTTTGCTTCCCTCCTTCTTTGCTGACCGACTGCAGCTTGGTTGTAAGATTTGCCATGAATATGTTGACAGGTATTTAGCCGTGAAACTGTAAGGCAATTGTAATGAATAATACAGATAATTCATTAGAATTTCAATTGCTTTCATCTGTATGTTACCATCTTGCACTACGCCTTGGGTTTAGAGAGCCTTGACTTGGAAACAGGCAGGCAGATGTCAGCGAACCAGAAATTATGAGAGATGAACAGTAGCTCCCAAAATAAGCAGGAGTTTGAGCTCCAGAACAGCAAGTGAATGGGCTCCAGATGTTCTCCAAAATCAAGCAGGTGTGTTTGGTAAAGGTCTGCCATAAGGAACTGATGTTCTCATTCTCTATAGCTTTCAAAGCTGTAATTAATCAACTGCAGCAAAATACCTGATATGATATAGGAAAGATCTGGGCTTGGAGAAATGGGATACAGTAAATGTTGTTTTTTTCACATAGGATTGGAGTCTGTTTTGGCATTTGTAGTGAAGAGGAACATTATCAAAGACAGCACTTTCTCTAGTCTTGTGCTAATGCAAGTGGTATGTTTTTAAAAGCTTGTAAAGAAAATATCACCTTAACACTAGTGTTGCAGCAACCTGGAATAGACATAATTTTATATGCAAATTCAAGCAATAATTAAGTCCTAAATTGCTCTATTTAAAAAATTAAGAAGCTTGTTAATAGCATTTGTGTTGGTATCTTTAGTGGCAAGAAAACATAACGATTCACAATTAGTGTTTAATTTGTAATTAGAAAACATATTCTGCTGGTTGAGAAATGGGAAGTGCCAGTTTTCTGCCCAAATAGGTAGTTGCTCAAGGAGATCCCTGCCCGTGAGTGTCCCATCTCCAATGCAGCCTCCCCAAAATGCTGGAAGGGAGCCTTCCAGTTTCAGTCCTGCTGTCCCAGCTCCGGAGGTTGCACAGACGCAGGGGATGAAACAGAGCAGGAGTGAGTATTTCCCCAGCTGTTCATGCTGGTGTTCAAAACTTCCCTGGACAATAAAGCCAGCTCAGCTTGAATTGCCTACCAGTTTCTGCTACCTGGTTATGCAGATCAAGACTTTCCCAAGTGGAATCTCCTAAAACCATATTAATGCAGGATGTCGAGGACCAAGACACACCTGGTTCATCTGTGACGTGTGTGGACATAAAGCCTTACCTTCATGGAGAGGGGTCTAATTGCACATGGTATTTTTGCAGGGTAGCAGTAGGGGAAGTTGTTCATATTTCTGCTCTCAAGCTGGAAGTGGAAGCAGTGCTGCCTGTGCAGGATGTGGGGGTGATGCCACCTCAGCTGCTGGACCCAGGGCCTGAACACCCAAAAAGGCTGAGCACAGCTGGGGTCTGTTTACACACGAAAAATCCTGCCTCCGTCTACAGGGATCAGGGAGGGAAATAAAGGTTGTCCAAGGACAGACGGCCTGGCTTTGCAGCCAGAACAGACATTTCCATAGGCATAAAGAGAAGCTGTGTGATCACCTGTATCAATTATACGTGACTATTTATCATTAATCCAAGCTTATTGAAAGCATCAGTTTGAACTTCCTGCATCTGCTGCTTCCCAAGGGTTCAC